AAGGCAGGAAGCAGCACGGAGTGGGGCTAGCTGAGTGCGCAGGGACCTTTTAATGAAGGATGTCCCTTTGTTGTAAAAGAGGCAGGGAGTCATTAAAAGCTTTGAAAGCCAAGAGGGAAATCATTCTGACAGCTGTGGGGAAAAGAAGGTTGTGTCAGTGGTTCGGATGAAAACTTTAAGGGCCTGACATAGGCCTATGATAATTGGAACAGAGAGGAAGAGACTATTTGGGAAATTCTTAGGATAGAGCAAGGGGAGTGATGAAGGAGAGTCCTAGCTGGGTGCATGAATAGCCAGTGGTTGTACTCTACTGAAATCATAAGAACAATAGGCTTATGGGCATGGACACCGGTTCATTGTTGGGTAGGCTAAGTTTGAGGGAGCTGGGGAGAGAATGTCAAGAGACTGTTGGAATTGAGCCTGGAGCTCTGGGGGAACATGGGGCAGGAGTGAGAGACTTGGAAAGCATCAGCTATAACCCATTGGCAGTGTATGCTCGGCAAATACTCTGCAGACACTTTGAAGGTGAACAAACCCACCTCTTGGTGACCAGATTGATTCTAAATTTGTGAAAGCTGACAGTAGCATTTTGTTATTGTTGATAATAGTAAAAATCTGTAACTTACTCTGGCTGCTCACAATGGAATCTGGATGGGTTTCTGGAACTTTGGCACATATGGCTATGAGGGTGTTCAAGCATGTGGTGGGGCCTCAGGCTTTTATGGGGCTCCTAACCTGAGACTCAGGCTGAGCCATAACCTTGACTTCTCTCCTGGCCCAGTACCCCAGGGTTCTCCTTTATCAGGCAGGTAGGATTGCCCACCTTCAACAGGGGTATCTGCCACTTCTTATTCAGTGGTCCTGATAGTAGATATGAGTGGAACCATTTAAGAAGAAAAAAATAGTGAAAAAGAAATAAATGAATAGAAAGCACTGGGTCTAAGTGTGAAAAACATACACTTGGCATATTTAATCGCGGGTAGAAAAGAAAACCTAGGTGAAATTAGAAGTAAGAGGTCTTAAAAAACATTTAACCTAGCCCCAGCTGGGTGACTCAATTAGTTGAAACATAAAAAACATTTAACCTAGCCCCAGCTGGGTGACTCAATTAGTTGAAACATCAATCTCATACACCAAAAGATTGCGGTTTTGAATGTACAGGAGACAACTGATCAATGTTTCTCTCTCACATTGATCTCTCTCTCTCTCTCTCCTCTCTCTCTCAAAAAAACATTGATCTCTCTCTCTCTCTCTCCTCTCTCTCTCAAAAAAAGTTATAGAACATATCCTCCTTGGGTAAGGATTAAAAAAAACAAAAAACAATTAACCTAGAGGAAGAATAGCATCAAAGAGTGCAAAATGTAATGTTAATATAGTATAAAATTTAAAAAATAAAACAAAATACTAAAATAGATATAATTTTCTAGAAAATAAACGTTTTCAAAATTAATATCATAAGGTTAGGAAAAACTGAACAAAGTAGTAACCAATGAAGAAGTTGGAAGCTACCTTCAGAAATGATTCCTGATCCTAAATTATTTTTTGATGCATTGTTTTAAGCTTTTAAGAATAATGACTCTGAAACATAGTAACAGTTATTCTGGAAGCTCTAACCCTGTTTCCAAATGTAATAAAAATAACAGTGAAACAAAAGCATAGACAAATATGAATGAAGATAGAAAAGTCAGAAGGGGAATACTCACAAGTTCATAACATTTGAAAACTAATTCATTTTGACTAAATATGATTTATAATGGAAGACTTGTGTAAAGGAAATCTGTTAATATAATTCAGCATACTAGGAGGTTAAATGAGAAAAAGCACGGAGTCATCTGATGAGGTATTCTGAAAGACAGATAACTCAGCATCATTTCCTAATAAATATGCTTTTAAAAAAATGGCCATATGCCGAAACCGGTTTGGCTCAGTGGATAGAGCGTCGTCCTGCGGACTGGAAGGTCCCAGGTTCGATTCCGGTCAGGGGCATGTGCCTTGGTTGCAGGCATATCCCCAGTGGGATATGTGCAGGAGGCAGCTGATCGATGTTTCTCTCTCATCGATGTTTCTAACTCTCTATCTCTCTCCCTTCCTCTCTGCAAAAATTCAATAAAATATATTTTTTTTAAAAAAAGGCCATAGAAAGTTATTTCCTTAACATGATAGAGTCATCTGTCTTTTTCCAACCAATGGCAAGTATTACAGTTCACAATTGAGCCTTGTTCCCATTTATATTGAGAAAAGACAAGGATGGATGCTATCATTTAATTTGTTACTTTGGAATTTCTGCAACACAATGAAGCAAATGAGAAGGAGATAAACATACTGGAAATAAGACAAAATTGAAATGATATGAGCATGGTATTGTATATCAAGAAAACCCAAAGGAAGAAAGCTCTTAGAACTCATAAAGCCTTGAAAAAACACTTGGGGCTAATAAAAATGAGTTATTGAATTGGCCTCATATAAGAAAACTTGTAATTATTTATCTTTCACTAGTAATAGCCTATTAGAATATCTATATATATAAAAGCCGAAGTGACCTGCCAACCATTTGGCCGTCCAACCGGTAGCTATGATGCGCACTGACCAGCAGGGGGCAGATGCTCAACGCAGGAGCAGAAACCACAGACATGGAAACATGGAACAGACTGATGAATCTCAGAGGGGAGGGGAGAAATGGAAGGGGAGGAAGAGATTAACCAAAGATCTTATATGCATACTAGAGGCCCAGTGCACAGATTTGTGCACCAGTGGGGTCCCTTGGCCTGGCCTGCAGGGTTCAGGCTGAAACCAGCTCTCCGATATCCCTAGAAGGGTCCCGGATTGCAGACCTCAGCAGTGACTCGTGAATCTTCTACAATATAGGAAGGCAAACTGATAGAATTTGCAGCTAATGCCTATAGTATCAGTAGTCCATGTAGCCCGGCTGGTGTGGCTCAGTGGTTGAGTGTAGACCTATGAATCAGGAGGTCATGGTTTGATTCCCGGTCAGGGCACATGCCTGAGTTGCAGGCTCAGTCCCCAGTAGGGGGCATGCAGGATACAGCCGATCAATGATTCTCATTGATATTTCTATCTCCCTCTCCCTCTCTGAAATCCCTAAAAATACATTTTTTAGAAATAGTCCATGGAAATTGCAAAGAAAATCACGTCTCCTTTCTGGATTCCCAGCTAACCACTTCTCTGCTCTAGGACTTAGGCACCACGGTGAAATGCTGGGGTTCACATGTCTGCCCTCCTGGACTCAGCTCCTAGAGGAGGTCTCGGTCCTTGTATTTGTAGACCACTGCACAGAGAGCTCATCAAAAAACA